TCACCTCCGGGGCTGGCTGTGACCCAGGGGCTTGTGTAGCATTTGCAGGAACCATTATAAGCGCAAGTGATAATCCCCGGGATACTTTCATGATATATGGTAAAGACGACGAGGGGAATTACTGGATTCATGCATATTTGCGTCAGGAGACATGGGATTTCATCGGGAAGATGTTTGATCAGCATAAGCTGGGAGATGCGTAGCGGCCATATCGAATAAGAGTGCGCTTCCCTGATACGCGCTCGAATTATAGCAGAGCTATGGCCTACACAAAGAGGTTTTCAGTCCATTTACGCCCCCAATTTAAAGAAGCAATATTGATTTCTGCGCCACTACACCTTAATGGAAGCGAACGCAGACTTCATCTAATAGTTCAACCATGCTATTCTTCTCTAGCTATGGTTATAGAAATTGGGTGGAGTTACAAGTTAGCTGACATCTGATCAATTGTCCAACTCCAACCTCTTTTCCTGACTCCATATTCATTTAAGCTACATAATCAGCAATCCGAACCATGGATCTAACATTAACATCCAGGCATAGCTACATTAATTAGGTTTGCACTAACCCACCTTCTGCGATACCAAGAGGTTAAACCTTAAAAACAATATGTCATGACGCCATTTTCTCTGGGTTATGGCTTTCATATTTTAAGATAAGATGACGTGTTTCGCCACTGAATTAGGAAAAAAGTAGACGTCAAGGAATGACAACAAAGAGTAACTGCGAGGAGTCCAAAGTGTATAACTTGCTCATTTCTATGACTGCTTCAGGGACAGCTCTGCCGGCAAAGCTAACGTCCCTTCCTTACATGCGCGGTGCGTAAACCCTAACAAGTCAGTGCTGCATAAGCTTAGGCTAGGTAGCAGAGTTTTAGAGTTAAGATTAGAGAATAAGCATATTGCACACAGCCTGATGGCCCCAGTGCCGTTGATCATTCTGCAAACCTAATTGTCCAGATAAGCAGTTCCGTGGAAAACTGCGGAGTCAACCCATTATAATTACAATAGAATGTTAAATTGTATATCTGTGAGTTTGAAAAGTGCTGTTCTATGACATATTATTGCATCAATGGACCACCGGCACTTGTAGCCTCTGTAGTATATAAGATCCTTAAATACTGCAGTTTGCTTTGGTAAGCGCCGTGTTTCGACTATTCTTATCAAGCACCGCTAGAAGATGTATCTGCACGAGCTATGTCAGTACCTATATGGAAGGGGTGGAATTTTTGTTAGCATCTCCGTGGTATCTCACTAATCTCATCATCTCCCGCTCCTATGGTTGTAAAGCTCTGACATGGAACAGGTGATGTGCTATGTAATTACCCAGGCCGTCTATAATGTCTTCTTTCATCCTTTAAGCCGATTCCCTGGCCCACTACTCCACAGGGCGTCGCGACTGGCATATATCTACCGGTATATTAGGGGGACGCTTACCCTAGATGTACTGGAAATGCACCAACACTACGGAGATATCGTGCGCATTGCCCCTGATGAGCTCGCCTTCTCTCATCCAGATGCCTGGTTGGAGATCATGGGTAAGAAGACCGGAGAGGAGATGGATAAAGCGGACTGGTTTTACCGAGTGACCGAACAGGGTGCACTATGCATTGCTAACGAAAGCCGCGAGCAGCACAGCCGGCTGCGGCGACAACTAGCACCTAGATTCTCAGAGAAGTGTATGCGAGACCAGGAGCCGATGATCCGGGGCTATATAGACCTCCTGCTGCAAAGGCTGCGGGAGAATAGCCGAGACGGTCAGCCAGTGGTCATCTCGGACTGGTACAACTATACTACGTTTGATATCATCGGTGACCTGGCCTTTGGAGAACCCTTTGGATGCCTGAGATGGTCTGACTATGATGGATGGGTCAAGGGGATTTTTGCATCCATACGGATAGGAACGATCTTGCAAGCTCTCGCCTTCATTCCATGGGTGAAACAAATCGCCCTGGCCATGGTCCCGAAGGCAATGCAGGAAGACCGCAAGAGAGAAATGCGGCAGACAGAGGCCAAAATGCAGCGGCGCATGGCGGCCACTGATGAGCGGGTGGATCTGATAGAAGGATTGCTCAAGAAGAGAGAAGAACTAGTCAGTTCTTTGGCCTTTCTATCCAGGAAGCACTGGCACTGACGACCGTCCGCTGTTTGCTTTACAGAACCTGCGTATCGATGAGCTCATCGCCAACGCTGAGATCCTTATCCTTGCGGGCTCGGAAACAACGGCATCCCTCCTCAGCGGAGTCACCTACCTCCTGCTCCAAAATCCGTCGGCCTATCAGCAATTGGTCAATGAGGTTCGCTCGACGTTCAGCAGTGAGGAAGAAATCAACTTTATCAGTGTCAACCAACTCACATACATGCTGGCTTGCCTGGACGAAGCGTTGCGCATGTACCCGCCCATAGCCAATGGTCTTCCGCGCGTTGTTCCTAAGGGAGGAGCCCACATTCTAGGGCAATATATTCCGGAACAGGTCAGCAGACATCAACAACAAATATTAATGAGTAATTAGCCACATTATTAACTATATATAGACCTATGTGGCAATTCATCAGTGGGCACTCTACCATCGCGAGAAATACTTTGCAGAGCCCAATGCTTTTCACCCTGAGCGCTTCCTTGGTGATCCAAGATTTGCCAACGATCGACGAGATGCGCTTCAGCCCTTCCATATTGGCCCACGAAACTGTCTTGGACGGAAGTAAGTAAATTTATACATTACGTTTGGGAGAAGTTTACTAAGTCTATCATTAGCCTTGCATATGCTGAAATGCGTCTAATCCTCGCCCTTATCATTTTCAACTTTGACATGGAGATTGACCAGGACAGTCATGGCTGGATCCAACAGAGGAATTTTGTCCTCTGGGAGAAGCCTCCTCTGAAAGTCTACCTAAGCCCAGTGGTGAGGGAGTCTAAGTAGTAATTAGGTCATATTTACATTTTGTTTACCCTAGAATGTGGCAATGTAATGGTGTGCCAGTTCTTTTTCTTTCTCTTTTTCCTTTTAATTATATGCTTCTCTGGGGACATTAGTCACATAACATAACTTACTAGTTGCAACAAAATATGCCAGAGAGTGCTGCTTTTAGATCGAGGGTCGAAAGACTGATACCACAGCAACCTCGTAATAAGCATCACAGGAAGCTACAAATGAGGCTAAAGAGTCGGCGACTAAATTGGTAGCCAAGGTAATGTCACAACCGATGGATGCTGCGTTTTCAGGACTCACTGCGGATGTGATCACGCACTATGCATACGGTAAAGCTGGGGCTTCCTCAAGGACCCGCAGTTCCGCAGTGATATCCGGACAGCAATAAGCCAGACCACGACTGCATGAGATGACCTTCGAGGATATATTACGATCGTAAGTGATTACGTGCTGGGGCTTTCCAAACATGGTGAGGAGGACGATCAGAGTCCGGTTTCCGCCCTCGTTTGGGTCTTTGGCCATTGTGGTAGATTACCGGCGTTATCGCTATTGAAGCCGCAGCAGAAGTGCTTTGTATCGGTGGAATGTAGGTAGAGTCGAGAATAGGATGGGTGGTTCTAGATAAATAAAACCGGCACAAACTTGATAGAGAAGAGATCGAGCTTAGCAGATGCACGAAACAAACCGAACGAATGACAGGTACTCGCTACCACAATAGCTGTAATTGCTCCAACACTCACACACCAACTCTGGTAGCAAGGAAGGCCATGATCCTCAAACGCGTAATTCCTTGAGTCCGGCGCAGATAAAGACGCAGGAGGGCGGACGATCATGCCATATGAGCCAGGAGTTTCCTTGCCGATATGTTCAATAATATGAAGTGTCTAGGCCGGGTTTTCCATGATGCGTCTAGTCCGAAAATGCCTAGGTTGATTACTTGTGAACAAAGATCAATGCTTAGTCTGTGGCCACTACTCACTGATTATGACTCGCTCACAGCAAAGTCACGGACCATCCCTGAGATGTCTCAAATTGATTATACGCATTCGCCATCCAACGCGGCCAGTAGCCTCTGACTCGGCGAACACCGAGAACCCTGGATCGATAGTGAGCGTGAAGTCGTTCAGAGGAGTCGAAAGTGGCATATCAGGATGGTTATTGGTGCTTTGTGACTTCCCATTTTCAGCGTCCAATCCCATCCAGAGTGATTGCAGGGGAGTCAGATAGTCTGTTTAGCCATCATGTACGATGCAAGTCCGTTCTTACTGCTTATCCATTCTTTAATTAGGTAGAACTTTAGTCAGATGTCAAATCTCCAAAATGAAGACAGCGGATAGGACATTGATATTGGTTCCATATCCTTGCATTATTCCCAGCCCTTGCATTATTGAACCTCAAGTCGCTCGCAGGCAGCATGAGGTAGCTACCTCTCTACAATTAAAGATGCGGTTGTTCGATGACCGAAGCCGATACCCTGTTTGGTAATGGCAAGAAGTGTCTCAAGATTGAAAGACTTAACCCGAGGTCTTTGATGACGGTCCTGATGCCCAAAATGCAAATGAAATACTCTCAGGACTCATCCGAATAGTGCTTCTTTGATACTAAGCCTCGAGACGTGCGATGTTCTCAAGGTGGAACGCAGTCATCCACAATTTTCTTTGTCTTTTTTGTTAGAATGTCTTCGAGAACATGCCGGTGATGGGCTGGGTTGGAGTATATTTCCTTTGTTGCTAAAACCCCGTTTTCCCTTTGACCATTCTCAGGACAAAAGAAGGTCAGATCAAAGATAGGATGGCTCTGTCGCACGTATGTCTTTGATGTGCTCATTGCTTTCATCGCCGAGAAAAACAACCCATCGACTCTCCCTCAATATGGATCCGACGGACTCGACATCAAAGCCTGATATTGCCCAGTCCATCACTGCCACTTGTCTCACTTTTCTTTGACACATCTTTAGTGCACAAGATGAGGATAATAGATGCAATGGACGGACCCCAACTAGCACTATATGTACCAGTTGCACTCCGGACACAGATCGATATCACCCTCGAGAGATTATCCACATAGCAAGATGGCAGACTTCAAATTCAGAGGAGACCACGCAGCCAACAAGGAGTTGGTCTGCTCGATTTCCCGCCTGCTTAATGCCCATGGAATCCCAAATCTGCTCTGGGGCGATCTGGTCTTCAATCTCTACGGAGTACCTCTCAAAGTCTCAGTAAGTACTGATCCCTACTACATCTTACCTAGCTAACCACCGTTTGCAGGACTTCAGTTTCGTCATCCCCGACGACCTAATCGATGAAGCGCGTAATGTCCTAGAAGCAGCCAAGTTCCCCGTCTGCCATCTCGGCCAAGCATGCCCCGTTATCCAGCCCAACCGCCCCGCTCCACCCCCGTGTGTCCACTTCAACATCAAGCAAAAAGGCGATCCAAGAAAGTGGTTCAGAGTCGAACTCCACCGAAAATCCGATCTGCTCTGGGCGGCCCCCGACATCCCGGCTGGCACGCCCGACGCCGACGATCCGCACTACATGCTTGCTAACGATACCAGGCTGCCAGCGTCCTCGCCCCGAGAGCGTCTCGGCCGGATGGACCGCACCGACTACGCTGTCAAAATACCAACCCCGAACCAGTACGCGGAGGCACTGGCAATGCTGTACTACCGCGATGGGGTACCGGGACCGACCATCCGTGGAGAGTACTGGTTGGATCTGCAGAGCGAACTAGTCCAGACGGGGCTTGTGAAGCTGGATGACCTCCCTGCGCGTATTAAACGGCACTATGAGCTGGTGGGTAAGGCGGACATGAAGGAGGTGCACGAGTATAGCGAGGAAGTGGCGGGGCAAATGAGGGAGGAATTCAAGCTTCCTGTTCGTCTGGTGCCGCTTGATAAGGATGCGTTTGTGCCGGCGGCGGCGGTGGAGGAGTTCCTTTGAGATACGGTTGGATATGTTGCGTTTATCACTCTTTAAATGTATCTGTTGATTTGTGACCAGTCATTCACTAAGATATTCCTTCCATACGAAGAGATTGATCAATAGAAAGTCACGAGGTAAAGCCTTATAAATAATAGGAAACCAGAAACGGGTTGAGAGTCACTTTTTAGAAGAACGTCACCTTCGCAATTGAATTGAATATATGCATCCATTGTATGCACAAAAAGATATATTAAGATTAATCATAAGAATGGTCGTAAGAAGCGTGGACGAGGATAGAAGAACGGGCAACAAACGCGTCCTTGGCCAGACGGCCTGAGATACAGGCACCACAAGCGTACAGGCCCGAACCCGACAGTCCATCAAATCATCCATTGTACCAACCCCAATCCGAAGATAGTGCCAACGAGCGCCTTCACCATATCCCCGTTCGAAGCCAGCTGACCTGCCGCATTGGAGGTAGCTGCGCTCGACGCACTCGAAGTCGTCGAGGAAGCGGTGCTTGAGCTTTTAGAAGTCGAAGTCGAAGTCGTGGTCGCAGTTGTGCTCATCGCATCCGTTGGCTGAATCGTCATCGATTCGCCGCTATCGCTGGTACTCGTGGAGGCAGTCTCACTCGGCGAAGTGGGCGGGAACGTCGTCGCAACTCGGCTGACCGACTTCCCCGTCGTAGCGGTTGCCGTGGTGGTCGTTGACGACAGAGCGACGACCTTGAAGCCGAGCAGATCCCGAGAAGATTCCTTGGAGAACACCTCGGTCGCCATGCCCGCCGGTTCGCCGGAGCACTTGTTGTTTGTGAAGAGGAGCATGTTGATGTCCTTTGCGCCCTGGGAGTCGATCTTGAATAGGTGGCCCTTGGGGTTATCGATCACGATGCAGTCGCTGGGGCCAGTGCCGGATTGGCTGTGCTTTTGGTTGTCGGAGTCGGTCCATGTTATTTCCCATGCGCCTGTGGAAGGGAGCAGAGAGAGTGTGGAGAGCGCCAGAGGGAGGAGAGTTGACCACTTCATTTTGCTTGGTTATGGAGTGGATCGAAGAGGACGTGGTTTGGATGGAAAGTGACAATCAATCAGTCAATTGGGCGGCCCCTTTTCTTATGGCAAACCCCACGAGCCTTTGGTGCAGTCTCGATTTCTCGTGTCACCATTTCTAGGGGCTGGACGCGCAGATCCTCGTATTTGATGCACGAAGAACCACTCACGATGGGAACACGGAAGCCACCGTCCTTGGCGGACAGTGATTGATTATGTTTGACGATACGAGCCAAGGCTGCGTCAGGGACAAGGTCAATATCCCTGGCGAATGGCGACAAAGATGTAATTTCGTTCGACCCATGGCTGACTTGGCGCTGTTCGCTTACCGCCAGAAGAGGGGACATGTCAGGCTGACTCGGAAGGTTCCAGCAATATTCGGCTAAACATGGAGACACTCAGGTTCGATGATTGCGATCTACGATGAGTCTGTTGGAGTGTAATGAGGGCCAGCTTTTCCTATTGCTCCGTGCCCTGCTGATCTTTACGCTCCACAACTCCGAATAAATCTTCGCAATCAGGTCTGGCTCATGCGGGCCGACAAGGCTTGTTTCCGTTGACTCGCAGCTCCCTTTCGTTTCGCAACTTAAGCTTGACTATTGCGGTATGTGAGCCAGCCCAGACTGAGACACCACTTGTGAAACGAATAGGGTGTCCCATTAGAGTGCATCTTAGTTGGAGTGGCTGAAGTCTAACTCAGCCTTCTCCGGAGTATTGATTTACTTTCCACTACGAAGAATGTAGGGACCTGTCGACGAGCCAATAATAGTACTAGTGACTACATGTATGTCAAGTCTTCTTGACCAAGGTGGCGTTAAGCTACATTTCCCTCGAGGTATGCTCGAGTCGCGCAATCCGCAGCCCATACAGCACTTGCGATAACCGAAACACCAGGTATTCTCATGATCATGTTTCTACTGGATGACCGGGACAAAGGGAGAATATGCTATCCTAAAATCAGAGCCTCCACCGGTTGACGAGACGACAATCAGGTCACTTTGTTTGTCAGGAGGCAGTAAACTGCTACAACGGCGATCGTAAACTCGGATACAGCAGCGAATTGCGATCGACCTTCGTTTTCAGAATGAGCACAGGGATAAAATAAAGATGTGTGGCTTCGGAAGCTGTTCCACATTCCAGCATTCCAGCATTCCAACATTCCACGGGGTGGCTGCTGGCGGCCTCCATCCCTCGATTGATACTCGGTAAGAACATCATCTCCAGACTGCAGCACTCGTTACCTGAATGTGTGTACACTTAATCAATTGGTTGGTATCAATTACACAATAAACAAATGGCAGCATCCGTGGTTGTTGGTTAAGGAGGATACCCAAAGCAAGTCAGGATGTGCAGAAGAAGCCGCAGCATAACACCCCAAGTTAATGATCAATTCTCTAGCAAGACAGTTCCCAGGTTTTGTAATTTAGAGTTCTGACATCCACAGAATATCCGTAATGATATGTCCAGCAGCCACGTGGAAGAACCAGCAGTCCATGGATGTTCCCGAGAATATGCCGCCCATCACATTCCTGTACGTTCTCAGAATTAACTATGCGTCGCTTGCATTATGCTTACCTTTCCTGAAGTAGTTGATGCTGGAAAATCATCTCGTAGTCCAGCTTCACACTACCTAGGGGTGTATACGAAAGCAGTTACCACCGGCCATGTCAGAATCGCCTGCGGATGGTCAATCTACGTACCACTATTTGGATGTCAAGCGAGCACGTCATGATAACCGTTTTCTACATCTTCATAGACACAAGAAAAGGTATAAAGATGACTCAATGGCCACGGCCTCGAGCTCATTCAATATCAACCATCCTTTCATAACATCAGTTGAGAATCAAGTATCAATCCTCCAGATATCGTCTCGCAACTTCTTGTTACCATTCAATCGCATCCTCACCAGGTACTTCACCTATTCTAACCATCCGTAAGTTACTAAGGTTTTCTCGGATTCCCCTCAAAATGCACTTCATCTACCAAGCCCTGTCCGCCATTGCGGCCTCTCTCCTCTTCTCATCCGCCACCGCAGCGACTCCGTACTGCAAGGTCGGGCAGGCATGGCCCGATAGCTCCGACTGCCACAACTTCTACGAATGCGCTTCCGGAGGCGCCCCTATCCTCAAGACCTGCGCACCCAGTACTGCCTACTGCCCGACAACTGGTGTTTGTGTCCACGAGGAGGCCGTCCCCAGCTGCTTCCACAGGGGGCATCCCTCCGAGGAAGTTAGTATCTGATTGAGTCGCGCATGTTTACTGGTGTCAGCACGGACATGTATACCCCATTGCATTAGACCGTGTTTGCATTTTGTTTCTCTTCTGGGATTTACCATACCATGTCATTGATAGAGCTGAAATAGACCGAGTTGTTTTATTAGGACTGTGTTTGGCGTTGAAGTGTTACCATCGAACAATTCATGCCATCCCTACATACACCATAGCCTTATAGTTTTATCCTTTGGCTTCTGGTCCTTAGAAAGCAGCTCCTTGTGCTCGCTCCCAAGTAAACCATAGAACTGCTTGCTGTGTAGCAACCGGACTAACGTATATATCGTGCATATAACAGAATAAATAGCCTAACCGTAACACTTATCAGACTGCTATAGGCATTAACGGCGTACATCATAGCAACCAAACTTGTTTCCTTGCGGATCACAATACTTCATAAGCAAACTATACGAGCTCTCAGTCTTCGCCTGAATGACGCCTCCACCTAGCTCAATTACCCATTTCTCCATCTAACTCAATCAGTATCGTCTCCATCAAACAGGTAGATGAGCTCACCACTTCAAGAGACTCAACAATATAAGACAGTCATCCTGTGAGCCCCGGCTGCTCCGCTACTGCCCCTGGCCCATCTTGAACCATTCTGACAATTGCACCAGCAAGTCCCACACCATCAGCCTGTGATACAGCTACAACAGAAAAACATACCTTTAGGCTCGGAGAATTTGAAATGCCGCATCTGATTCCCATCCTCCGTCGCTTCACCATGTGCTGGTTTCCATTCCCACGATGGGAATAGAGATGCATAGAATGTCTGCTGTCGTTAGCAGCCGGCTTTCATCTCTCTGAGAGACTCACCTTGAGCTTCTCTACGTTCTGGGCGGGTATCTCGAGGAAGCAGGGCTGCCTTCTGGGGGCGGATGCCATGCTTGCTTTGGTTGCGTGTTGAGACTTTGGGTCGTCATGTATGCTCTGCGGAAAGTCCGTACTTGGGTGTGGTAGGATTGTATGTTCTGAAGGGGACGAACGACACGATGCATTGTTATGTCAACATGTCTTGGCTTGGTTGCAGGGGAACATAAGCTTATAAGATATGCCACTTCGTATTCGGGCTGCACTGTCATTTTCCAGATATGAGTCACTTCCTCGAGTATAATTGTTCATACTTGAAAGAACGCTACAGCCATTCAATAAGACGAACGTGATATTACGGTACACTGTAGTGCGACTGTTGCGCTATTGGTGAATACTGGAGTGAATCCCAAGTGCGGGGTTCCAGTATATAACTTGGCAACTCTCGCCCATTTATTATACTCTTCTACAAAGTATCCAAGCTTGCAAACATACGTCTTAGACGTAGATCTCAACATGCCTCGTACTCGCCCCCGACGACTCGACCACCTGCAAGGCATCAATGTCGACCAGATGGCCCAGATCGCCGACGCAGCCAACAACGACTGCCTCCGCCTGGAAAACCTAGACGTCAACATCCCCCCGGATCCAGAGGCTCTAGCTTACACCAAGCACGCCGTCACCGACGGCCCCTGTAACAGCTACCTCCCATTCACCGGCAAAGCCCGTCTAAAAGACGCCGCAGCCAGGCACGTCTCGCAGCTCTCCGGCAGGACATACTCCGGCCAGCGCAACTGCGTCATTTCCGTGGGAGGGCTATCCGGCATCCTGAACGTCCTGCTAGCAACCATCGAAGAAGGCGACGAGGTGATATTGACGGATCCGACCTACCGGGGCCTCATTAATCGGGTCTTACTCGCAGGCGGCGTCCCCAAGTTTGTGCCCTTCACCTTTGAGCCAGGGAAGGAGTGGAGACTTGATCAGGCCGCGCTGCGGGCGGCGATTACTGACAAAACTACTGCGATGCTGCTCATGTCGCCGTCGATGCCGAGCGGGGGCTACTTTGCCATGGAGGACTGGACGCTCATCGCGGAGATCTGCGTACAGAAAGACCTGCTTCTCATCCTGGACGCCGCAATGGAGCGGCTGGTCTTCGACGCGCGGCCGGTGATACACCCAGCCAGTTTGCCTGGGATGTTCGAGCGGACGATCATCGTAGGCTCGTCTGCAAAAGAGCTGCGCATGATCGGATGGCGTGTTGGCTGGATCGTGGGACCAGAGGACCTAATCAACGACATTGCGGCTGTGTCTATGGCCAACGTCGTTGTGCCCGTGGGAATCGCTTAGGAAGCCGTGGCTGTTGCGCTCGAGCGCTCGTCCGAGACCATGGCGTCGTATGTGGCTGAACTACAAGCGCGCCGGGATCTCGTCGTAGCGGAACTCGACGGATTACCAGTTGGCGTGCCGGCGGGCGGATGGAGCCTGCTTCTCCGCGTGAGTGATTTCGGGCTGGACGGGAGTACCGCGTCGAAGCGTTTTCTGGAACAAGGGGTGTGCACAACTGCAATGGATGGATGGGGAGAGGTGCACGGTAGCCAGTATATCCGGTTTGTGTTCTCGAATGAGTCTATTGAGAGGCTGAAGGGACTGGGTGCCAAAGTCCGCAAAGCGTTGGGTATTCCCAGTGACTAAACGGCGGATCATCCGGACTTCTACACGTATAGTGCAACAGTTATACACTTTGTCTGAGCATAGCTCTGATAGAGTTTGGCTGGCATCCACATAAAGCTCTGCCCCGGCGGAAATAAGACGTATAAATCCGTTGATGACGCTGAGAACGGAAATAACAATGGCGATAGTCCCCACTGATGTCACTCCCCAATTAGGCTTCCCGGACATCCCACATATAAAAGGACTGTGGTGTACAGAGTATTGGCCCAACATTCAACCCACGTTGTAACCTACCAACACATTGCAATCACCATGACTACCATTCCAACTCGTCCCCTGGGAAAGAACGGCCCTCAGGTCCCCCGACTCGGCTTCGGGTTAATGGGGCTGAGTTCCTTCTACGGCACCGCCAAACCCGACCCTGAGCGCCTTGCCCTGCTCGATGCCGCATACGAACTCGGCGAAACATTCTGGGATAGTGGTATGTACCTTGCCTACTTCCCTTGAACCCGACTAACGTCATCCAGCCGACATGTACGGCGACAGCGAGGACCTCCTCGGCAAATGGTTCAAAGCCAATCCCACCAAACGCGACAACATCTTCCTCGTAACCAAGTTCGCCAATCGCACAGGACCCGACGGGCAACGCTTCGTCGACTCCTCGCCCGAATACGTCCGCCAGGCATGCGATCGCTCCCTCACCCGTCTCGGCATCAAGACCATCGACCTATACTACTGCCACCGGCTCGACCGCAAGACCCCTATCGAAAAGACCGTCGAAGCAATGGCGCAGCTCAAGGCAGAAGGCAAAATCAAATACCTGGGTCTGAGCGAGTGCAGCGCAGACTCACTGCGCCGGGCGCACACGGTCCACCCCATCACCGCCGTGCAGATGGAATACTCGCCCTTTGCGCTGGAGATCGAGAGCCCGCAGTACAGACTGCTGGAGACGGCGCGCGAGCTCGGCGTCGCGGTCGTGGCGTACTCGCCGCTGAGCCGGGGGTTCTTGACCGGGGCTATTACCTCGCTGGATGATTTCGAGGAGGGCGATTTCCGCAGGCTGTCGCCGCGGTTTAGCAAGGAGAATTTTGGAAAGAATCTGGCGCTGGTGGAGAAGCTGAAGGCAGTTGCGGCCAAGAAGGGGGTCACGCCGTCGCAGTTGACGTTGGCTTGGTTGATGGCGCAGGGAGATGATATTTTCCCTATTCCAGGGACGACCAAGGTCGAGCGGTTGAAGGAGAATCTGGGGAGCTTGAGCGTCGAGTTGTCTCCGGAGGAAGAAAAGGAGGTTCGAGCGGCCTGCAATGCGGCCGAGGTTGCTGGTGGTCGGTATCCTGAGAGTTTTTCGGCGTCGTGTTTTGCGGACACCCCTGCTCTGTAATGTCACTGTATGTACATGATAATGGAACTAGCCCACGTTCCAGTTTGTAGAGAATCATATATATAACGTTAGGGAGCAGCCATTCATATTGCAGCCACTGGACATTCTGCATTGCTACAAGCACACCGAGAGCATTCATATATCTTCCATGTATACCTGCCATATCGTACACCATAAGCTTGGGATTCTCACACCACTTGTGAGGGACCTGACACCAGTTGTAGCCCTATCGCAGGGAAAAATACTTAAAACCAAGAATCTTTAGACAGGAAGCTGCCCAGCCATACCAGCTTCTAAATCTGGAAGATGGCGGTGGAAAAGACATGAGTCATGCGCTCATGCCTGAGAACACGATATGACGCACAGACGCGAACACATGGGACTACGCCAGTTACAACATATCAAGGAACCGATCTTGATCTTCCAAGAACAGTCTGATTCGGGATGTTCCGAGTGGCGGCGAGTCCCGACGGAAGAGACAAGATGTGGGGCGTGGAAAGCGAATGAACGACATAACAAGAAGAGAAAAGTGGATATAGATCAAGCTAGAGTCAATTTCTGCTTCGAGAGAAGTGTTGCAAACAGGTTCTATTTCGGGTCTCCTCTTAACCTTCTTTACAACTTGTTCCCTCATCGAATGCTCTGCCGGGTATTAGGAATCCGAGGTGTAATTGCTGATTTGGGTCATCAATATATGAACTAGATAGCCACTCAATTGAGACGAATCAGGCCTTCACTAGCTTGTCAACTGTATACGTTTACTAGGAGAGACTAAACTTCGGACGCACGCATGAGAGATGAGACAGAATATATCTGAACGCCGCGCGCACCTGGATGCAACAATTTCCGAAAAGCAATCCAACCGCCCTTACAAGCGCAATATCCAGCCGACAGAAAGTGACTCTTCTAATGATTCCATCGACGAAAAGTTCCCCGAAGGGGGCCTTCGGGCCTGGCTGGTGGTACTCGGCGCATGGTGTGCAATGATCCCATCGATGGGTCTTTTGAATACGATAGGGGTGCTGCATGCATGGACAGCCGAGCATCAGCTCGCCGAATACTCTCCCTCGAGCGTTGGGTGGATCTTTGGCGTGTACAGTTTCTTCTTGTACTTCGGCAGTGCGCAAGTTGGTATGTAGGCTCTGCATTCACGTTTGATCCTTTCTAATGCTTATAGGTCCCATCTTTGACAGCCGTGGCGTGCTTCCTGTTGTTCTGCCGGGATCTATTGGCATTGTGTTGGCCGTTTTCTTCTTCAGCGAGAGTACACGTACGTCCCTGCCTCCTGTCTAGTATGCAGGAAGCTGACAACCATAGAATACTACCAAATCTTCCTTTCCTTCAGCGTTCTCGGCGGCATCTCCTCCTGCTGCCTTTTCACCCCAGCCATCGCAGCAGTCGGCCACTGGTTCAACGTCCGTCGTGGACTGGCCACTGGGATAGCCTGCACCGCCGGCGGACTGGGCGGAGTCTTTTTCCCCTTGATCATTCTATACCTTGGCCCTACACTCGGATTCACCTGGGCTCTACGGATCATTGGAATCATCTGCTTCGTGCTATGCGCGCTCGCCTGCCTTTTACTTCGCACCCGACTCCCGCCCAACCACCAAGCCGGAATGGCAATCGATTTCAGAGCCCTCCGTGATCCCAAGTATGCAGTTACCACGCTCGCGGTCTGGCTGGTGGAGTTTGCCGTCTTCATACCATACACCTACATCTCCTCGTACGGACTACATGCCGGCATGGACTCGTCTCTCGCATACAAGCTCAGCGTTTTCCTGAACGTCGGCGCGATCCCCGGCCGCGCGTTGCCAGGGTTGCTTGCTGACCGCGTCGGCCGGTTCAACATCATGTCGTTGACGGCGCTAGTATGTGCCATATTGACCCTGGCGCTGTGGTATACAGCCGGTGATAATGACGGCGCCATCATCGCCTACGCGACATGCTTCGGGTTCTGGAGTGGCGCGGCGATTGGTTTAACCCCGGTGTGTATCTCGCAGGTATGTCGGACGGAGGACTACGGGAAGCGCAATGGGACCACCTTTACGCTGGTGAGTCTGGGGACTCTGACTGCGATTCCTATCGCGGGTGCGATCCAGGAGTATAACCATGGGGAGTACTGGGGGCTCATTGTGTTTGGAGGGGTGCTGTATCTGGCGTCATTTGTGGCGTTTGTGATTGCCAGAGGAGTTGCGGGGGGTTGGCAATTAAAAACGAAATTTTGACTTGCTTGATGTTTAGTAGAGGTTGGATAAAATAGCATCACCTAGAGTACCTTGACACCATACTATGCACTTCCCAATCAGGCAAGCTTCTGGAAGCTTTCCACGCAAGACATGACTAACCTAATAGAGCTAGTGCCAAGCCCTTTAGTCGTTAATAGACCAATCAGAACGACCCTGATGAGCTTGTCCAAGGTAAGAATCGATCAGATGGACCCTTGAATAGACGAGGTAGGGCATAGACGTGGTTTATGCAGTATTTCTCTGGTCCATGATCGACAACCTCGTCCATCTGATCAAGGTTTACACCTTTTTATCTGCGGGTCCTCCCTGTCTAGACTGGGATTGGAGTGAGGCTGTGACCGCCGGGCTCTCTGACCGCGGATCCCCCGGAGGAAATTATTCCAAAACATCCTCCAAACCTATTCAATGGACAATATACGATAGAGGTCGCCCTCATGAGACGCAAAACTCTGCGCTCTCTCTTCCACCTCACCGTCCTGGGTGGTATCGTCCTCCTGCTCTTCGTCAACCGCCCAACCTCGCCCATCAAAACCTTCCCATGGACGCATATCCGCTACAAATCCTCCTCCCCCATCCCGCCCTCCCGCGGAAAATGCCCGGGCCTGACCAAAACCACCAAACCAGCCCTGGTGGTCTCGCGCGTCACAGCAGACGGTGACCCCTCCTGGCTCGATTCTTTATCCAAAACATACCACCTCTGCATCTACACCGTCGACGCGCCCAATCCCACCGCATCCACGCTACAAGTCCCCGCAAACCGCGGCCACGAAGCAATGGCCTACCTCACCTTCCTAATCGACAACTACGACTCCATCCCCGCCGCAGGGGCCGTCTTTGTGCACGGCTCCCGCTTCGCATGGCACAACGATCACCCCACATACGACAACGCCGCGCTCCTCTCCTCGCTGAACATCCCCGCCGCGCTGGAACAACAAGGGTACCATAATCTCCGCTGCGATTGGAGCGTAAGCACGTGCGCCGCCTCGGCCGCGCCGCAGGGGAGTCTGGAGAATCGAGTGCAGTCTGTGCTTGAGCCGTGGAGTGCGCGCGCGGCGTCGGATACGGCGCTGCCGGCGGCGCTGGGGGTGTTGTTTGGTGGGGATCAGCGGGAGGCGTACCTTGCTGCGAAGCTCGGGCGGAACGATGCGGTCAAGGCGCAGTGCTGCGCGCAGTTTGTTGTGACGAGGCAGAATATCTGGCGGCATTCGCGCGCGGAGTATGTTGCCTTGCGGCAGTGGTTGCTTGATGGGATGGGGGCTGGTCCGCGGCGACGGGGAGCGGCCCCGCCGGATGACCGTGTCGCTGGGCGGATTCTATCGTATATCTGGCATATTCTGTTTATTGCCCCGGAGCATCTGGGGACTGGGTCTGGGGATGGGGTGGATTTGCGGCGGTTGAATGAGCAAGCATGCCCAAGGGCCGACGAGTGTTATTGTCGGTTGTACGGACGGTGTAATCTACGTTGTACGAGTCCAGGGAGCTGTCGGGGGGAGTATGCCCTACCCAAGGATTTGAGGTTACCAGCCGACTGGGGAGAGACCCATTCACGTCCTAAATGATAATCACATGTATATAATGACTGGATGCTAACTATACGCGATCGTGCTTGACATCGACAGCCGTACTAATAGCCTCATCCCTGCCTCGCTCTCTCCCCGTAGCATCATGCTCCGCATCCCAAGTCTTCAATTGCTCATTAGGAACCTTGACCAATTTATGCGCTGTCGCCCCATCCTCCATCTGCAGGATAATCTGCCGGAACGTATACCCGCCCAGCCGCGGCAACACCTTGATATAGATGTAGTAATACACACCACAGAGCCCAATACTACAATAATCAGCATTGCACTGAGGAAAACAGAGGAGAACTTACATTCCCAGCCCAACGGCGCAGTACGTCGCATACCAGAAACTCACGTCCCCTCCTTTGGCCCCCGTCGTGGGCGGATACCACGGCGCAACAAGCATATAGATATTCGAGAGGATCGAGAAGCCGACCACCACATCCCACGCCTTATATCCCGAGGGCGGAATATTATGCCGCTTGCGGTGACGACGGGTAAGCAATAGTCCAATGGCGAGGAGTAGGGCGAAGGCTTGGGTGGGGTACACGCCCAGATCGACGACTGCCAACGTAAGTATAGGCTTTATACAGTGTATGTCCGGAGAACGCACCGAAATTGAAGGCGTCGCCGGCTGGCGGAGCGAGGATCATGAGGACGGTCAAGGCCCATTTCAGCGTGTAGGGGCCAAGCGGTGTGCCGAACGGACGAGTCGAGGTCCAGAACTTGGTGAAGGGAAGGACCCCTTGTCTGGTCTCGTTAGCGACGTAACGCCCAGGGCACGGCATAGAGACTTACCTTCCGCATTCTCGGAGGAGACGGGACTGCCCGACGAGAACGGCAAGCAGATTCCCGAATGCGCTGAGACAGATCAAGAAGTTCAGGGCCCGTGACGCACTGCTCGTCCCGAAGACTTTCTGGAAGAAGATGCTAGCCGCCACGACCTTGGAGCCGAGGATCTCTTCTTTTGTTGCGGCGGAGAAATAGGCGATGTTGGCGAGCACGTAGAGTGTTGCCACCAGGAGGAGGGAGAGCGGCGCGCTCCATCGTAATGTTTTGGCCGGATTCTGCTGATATGAGTACTGAATAGCCAAAACTCAAACATGACATACCTTGACTTCATTCACAACATTGAATGCATTCTCGAATCCCGCGTACGAAAAGGCTACCTTGACCAGTGCGTTTGTGGCCCCGTACACCGACGCAGAGGAGCTACCCGCAAAGGCGTCGCGAAAGTTGGCCTTGGGATCTTCGATCTTCGTGTGGCCCCCAAGGACGACTAGGCCGGTGATACCGATGCTAATCCGTGAGTTTTGTTCTTTTGTGGCAAAGGATAGACGTACAAGATCAGTGTGACGAGTTTGACGAACCCAACGGCATTGGCGAAACGCAGCGACCACTTGGTGTTGAATGCCAGGACTATTCCGTTAGCATCCTTTCTTGGACAATATATGCGATCTCACCTAGCACTGCAGCGCTATACGAAGCCACCGCAACACCCTTGAGCTTCCACGGCGTGGACTGCGCCTCCGCCAGTCGAAAGAGATACTGCGCGAGGACTAATCGGTCAGCTAACCCCCCCGCTCAGGAATCGATGCACATACCAATCGCATTACTACTGCTAAACGAAAATAAAACCGACTGCATTGCAAATACAGTCGGGAGAAAATACTTTGGCCGCGGATACGCCTGTTCGAGATAAACCACCTCTGACCCGGACCGACTGGGGAAATACGACGAAAACTCCAGATAGACAGCCAGTGAGCTGCCAGCCATGAAGAATCCAATGACCCAGTAGAACAGTGCCAGGCCAACGGACCCGGCACCTTTCAGGACAGTTGATGCTGCGGCTGTCAATTCCAGGTATTGCATCACACGAGACGGAGGACTCACGGGTGGAAAAGACACCAGTTCCGATCATCTTGCTGAGGTTGAGGAAGATGACTGTAATCCATCCGACCGAGTATCCCAGCGGCGAATTAACTTCAACCGGCGCACCGCTGGCTTCTTGGTAGGTTGGCACGGAGGAGTTGGCGCCGGCTTCAGCAGTGTATTGCAGGTCGCCACTGCTGAAGCTCGAAGCATCAGATTGACCATTGTGCTCGGACTTGCGTTGGAGCCCCATTGTGGTAGATTTGGGTCAGAAGGCAGATCGGGGAGCGCTGTTAACCCATCACGCTGTAGGAGGTCGAACTATTTATCCCTTGATGAGTGCAACATAAGGTGCTCATCACCTGGCACAATGACGTGATGCGGTACGACAGAAGGCGATAAGACATCGACAAACTCAAAAGACGTTATGCCGGCCCGTCTGACATGGCAGAGACTTCGGATTGTCAAGTAGACTGTCCTTGTGTCTGGAGACCATGCTAGTTTGTCTTTATACGCCCAATAATGTCTGTTGGCCTGCTTGGTAGCTCTCGGCAATGCGACCCAAGTGCTGCTTATCAGTCGAATCATATCAATTGTACAAATATGCACGCGGCATTTCCCCTGAAGACTCCAATTAAATCAAGGTACTTATTTGCCAAGGTGATTGCATGATTGCAGGGGACGATGGTAGCATGAGGGGTCTACCCGCTAGGGAGAATGTCGCAATCCGCACGATCTTTTAGCATCAACCCTCGATATCCGCTCAGCACATTTGACAATCTCGGTAGCAACAAAAGGTTCGCGCCGAAGGGGATTAAGCCTATCGCGTCAAAATAGTACTTTCGAAAGTCTGGGGGTTGACAAACTGACATTGAACTGTACATGAAGTAGACAATGGCTTGTGGATCTACAGGAGTGTAACGGCATCATCCATGACTCTGTGTTCTATTTCCTACGATCGATTGATCTATTCTTTATAACAGATCATGGCGCTTTATTAGCAAAGGAAACGGAAAGCCAGCTTAGTTCATTCATTGAATGGTGTCGCTTCGCTCTACACCCCGGCTTAGTCCTCCGCCATTGCCCCGCTCTCCACGATTCGCTGAACGCTTTTTTAACGTCGCCAGTTTATGTGATATCTATGTGGAAGACAAATTAAATGTCATGAATTCATAAGTTAACTTCTGAGCTTCCACACCTTGAGGAGATCCGTGTCACAACTCTCAGCAGTCAGAAGATCCAGCGCTCAAATGTTGGATCACGGAGACTACGCGCCTGAATCTCCCGTCTTGTCTCAGTCGGAGGAAGAGCATGACGAGCGGCCATTCAATGGTTTGTACATCGATATGGCCCCATTCGGACTGGAGAAAATCTGGGATTATGAGCCTGGTGGTCATCATGTTGTTCAGCTTGGCGATCACCTAGGTCGACAAGGAGAATACCGCGTCATTCACAAGCTAGGCAGCGGAGGGTTCGCCAACGTTTGGCTGTGTCAAGTCCTGCGCAATGGGATACCCAACTATGTGGCTGTTAAGATCCTCATGGCCGATTACTCTAAAGACGATTGCCCAGAGCTTCGCGTGGAACGGCTTCGAGAAGTTGGATTGGAAAAGCACATCTGCCTCCCGTTTGATCAATTCCGAATTGAAGGCCCAAACGGGTCACACCTTTGCTTTGTGTATCCTGTGGCCGGTCCGCGTGTCTCTCTTATAGCCCAGCAATTCGAAGACCCGGACAGAAGCTTGCGGAAAATGGCTCGACAAGCTACTGAAGTCATGGCTGCATTGCATAGTCATGGTATATGTCACGGAGGTCAGTTCCCGACGTTCCCACGAGCCACACTGCATGCTTGGAACTGACTTGCAGCAGACTTCACGCCGTCAAACATTCTTCTAAAGGTTGAGGGCCTTGACGGATTACCCGAAGATGAAGTACTCAAAATCCTGGGAGACCCCGTCAAGGTAGAAGTTTTCAATGAGTCAGGGGAGACTCCCTCTGATCCTACCGCGCCTAGATATCTCGTCCGCCCGGTCGAGTTTCGCAATGTTCCGCTGCCGTACGTCGTGGATGAGATTCTTGTGATCGACTTCGGAGAGTCTTACGATGTCACAAACCCACCAGAGGAGCTTGGTATCCCCGAGAGTTATCGTCCCCCCGAACTTGTCTTAGAGAATACGCCAGGATTTGGATGTGACATCTGGGCACTCGGCTGCACCCTCTTCGAGATACGAACGGGTAGAAAGCTCTTCGACATGTTTGATGATGATCTTGATAGCCACCTCTTCCACATGGTTGAGATGCTTGGCGCACTGCCAGAGCCGTGGTGGTCTACGACTTGGAAGCACAGAAAGGAGTTTTTCAAAGATGAAACGGACTCACTCGGTCGAGCGGTTCTGGTTGATGCACTGTTCAAGGAACGGTCGGACCTATCGACAGGCGCTCCGTCGATAGAGCGGGCGCTACGACGAGGGTTGCATTATTGGGACTTGGGGCCAGGCGAAGACTTTTCCAGAGAGATTCTCCCCGACGAGGTTGAACAATTGGCGGATCTGTTGAAGAAGATCCTACAATATGAGCCTAGTCGCCGGTTGACCGTGGCAGAAACACTAGAACATGAATGGTTTCGTATTGATGGGAATTGAAGACATGTTCAATAGAGGGTACCAGCATTGACTGTTTCATTGAGGAATTCGCACTCATCCCTATTCTTGTACCACGGTTCGATGGCGGGTTTAACATTTCCATGAGCTGTCACTGCGATATCTGACAGAGCACCGTTTATAGCTGAGTGTAGGATGCGTATAACTATGCTGACGAGCCTGGGGTGCCCTGATGTATACATGGTATTGTAGATGGACTGACATATACCCTCTTATACACATATATGGTAGCTTTATGCAATAATAGAAATTAGATCTGACTTGTAAGCTTGACTTCGCGGCTACCAGCGGTGTACAAAAGAGCAGTTTCATCTCCTCGGGCAAGAAACATCTTGCTCGATGATAACAGTGGACTTCTTCCTACCAGACTTTACTGACCGAAAATGACAGCCTTGTGGCGGCAAATTCACTTATCCAGATAGTCAGACATTCATCGCATCTTGACAATGCTATGTCTGTCTGGATCAGGACAGGACAAGGGAGGCCAATCAATACAAAAGCTATATTAGCAATATTCAATGAAAGTGGTTCCTCCGTATCTGTTTGAATTTATTTGCAGTGAGGCCAAGAGTAATTACAAGCTAGGCTTCTCAGATGACCCATGCGATGCTAAAGGAGCATTATATTCATATCTGATGGGACAAAAGCTGGTGCTCCACACTATCAAGTAATCTATTCACTCCAAAGAAGGGGATTAGCCCTTGCAAAGGAAGAGTCATTCACTTCTTTTCTGCAGACTTCCAGGAGTATCCACAATCTCCAATATAAAAGGAGACTCAGGCCTCCCCAAAACCTGATCATCTTCACTCTCACATGGAAACCAACCACTCTCCTCGCCTTATACCAGTATTGGTGCTGTCATGCTCATGTTATGCCTGATCTTGCTGTTATTGAGGCAAAAATTTCCTTTACAAATTTGATATATACGACTTTCACTATTTGAGACGCTGGTCCCCTGACAATGCTGGCAGCTATTGATTTGATGCTCAGAGCAACTGGGATTCTCTCTGGCAACTTGCATGGCACTCGTTGTTTTGGGTAGGCGTCGCCGGCATTGCAAATCGCATGATATCTATGCTTTGACCCAAATTATTGGTTTACTAGCCACAGAGTGGATATGCAGGCCATGCTATGTAAGGTTATGGCTTGCGGGGCTGTCGCCCGAGGACCCCCGGGGCCAGCCATGCCAGTGGTGCAAACGGAGACCCTGGATCGAACCCTTGCTTCCTTCAATAGTGGGTGGTTCTGCAAGATGTGCAAAGTGGCTACCAGTGATCAGGTTGCTTCCTGGCAACTCTGCCTGCTTCCGATGAGGAGCTTCAAAGGCCACGCAAATGTGGTGATTGTGATAAAGTCGGTTATGAAGTAAGATATATCCAATCAAATGGCACAAAACTGTGCAATGCATGTCACCAGCATGAGTCAAACCTTGCCAGCTGGCCGGTCGCAAATAAAAAGTCTCACACCGAGCTCTTCGAGAACGCCCTATACCAAGGAGGCCCCCGAGCGTCTCAACGCCATGAACCCAACTGAGAGACAGATCGTGCATAATCAGCATTTGCGGACTCACTGTGTCTGCGACGGCTGTCTTGTTGTACGAGGGAAAAACTCAGGCACTTGCGGAAGGACGGTCCGCTCCTTGTGCTGTAGTGCAGCGGACCCACAAGCTCAAGCAAGGAATGAAATTCCCCAATGACCAACTCTGTACTCCGACCCAGAGGGTACCCATACTTGGTCATAGAATCGAACGTATCCGAGTCAATGCCCAGATTGAAGGCGGACACAGTCTGGTGGTCCACGAACTCGAATGGTCCGTGAAGTGAGAAGGGGCGCAGCACCGACAACGAGGCATTTGCTCATTACCAAGTTCCCTTGGTGACAGGGAATCCACTGATGATGGAAACGAAGACGAATCTACCGATGGATATCTCAATGAGGAGATCGATATAGACTCATGCAGCACTGATAGTGAAGCAATCTTCGGCGATGATGCTTTCGACCGCTTTCTTAACGGTGCCCGGTACATACCTTCGAGTAGCCGCATGCAACTGCTGCAGGTCGCGCACGAGCTCTAAAACCCTACCTGGCCAGCCTGCAAAGTGAATGGGCCAACTTCCAGCACAGTATAGGCTGATATAGACAGGACTCCATCTTTGATAGAATCAGCGTCCTTCGAACTCTATTACGCATTGGGCCCGTCGATTCTCCCACGATGGTGGTCAGTCTGCCTGATCGCGAGGGGGCTTTGGCAGCCGCCCGTCGCGAAGCTCCCCTTCCCTTGACGAAACCGCAGGAGTCGTTGGTCGTTCTCCTTGATCGTGTCCGCGACGTCGAGTGGGTCTCCCATAATGATGTCGATATGACAAAGGAAGTGAAGCACGAGTCCCACCAAAACGCAGTCCTTCTCTATACTCGTGGTATTGAGACGGAGGAGAAGTGCGGTCATTGTGCGAAGGGAGCGGGTGGATGAGCTGAACTCACACATAGCGTCAGTTCCTCCACCACCGCTTCACCCTCAATTTTCGTCCCAATCATCGTCCTACCAACGCACCAGCCGTTTCACTTATAATGTCAGATTTACTTTCTGGGACCTCCGTCAGGGAGACCGCAGCGGAGGTAATTCTACGACCCGAGGAGATATCCGACATGCTTGGCTCGTCGTCGATCCTTTACGGGGCCGACGACGGTCTTGCAACAACGTTAGTAATTTGCAAGAGGATTATCCAGCAATCCTCCACCAAGGCGATTTATGAAGTCACATGGGATGGAAACCGGCCAATCCGGATCTCGTGGTCTGAATTGGCTGGACAGGCCTTTATCCTTACTCAATCTTCGCTGAATCCCAAGCCTTGAAGGACGCTGTGACCACAGAGGCTGCAAGCTTAACAAGGTGGGGTCACCATCAATATATCTTGTTGAAGCATGTGGCTAGGAGAGACTTTGACCTCATTGAGGCCAGGCGATGATGAAGAGCGGATTCTGCGTTTTTCTGCGTTGTTAGAGTCTTGAAGCTCCCGTTCTAACGCGAAGAAAAACAACCAGGACCTGTTCTTGTCGAGGGAGACATGGAGAAGTACAAATCGTACGAGCTTGAACGAATCATTAACAGAGTCAACACACAATCAAGCGAGGCAAATGGAAGGGAGAGGTCCAAACCGAATATCTTGTCAAGTGGCTCGGATATGGCGATGAGAAAAACCTCTGGCTCGACTCGTCTCAGCTAGATAGACAATGCCAAAGAGTTTGTGGCCGAGTTTGAACAACGGCGAAGGGAACAGGAATAATCAATTGACGCGTTTACATGTATATTAAACCACATCGATATTCACTATCTGCTTATCCAGTTCCCCAATGCCGGTCCTGGCTTGCCCAAATCTCAGCATTCACCACCTGCTCCCGCACGCCTCATGTTTACCATCTGCACCAACACCTCAACTTGCCTCCTTCTCTCTCTCACCAACCCCTCACGCCTCATTATCACCACCCCTCCCCTCAGCACGTTATCGTTTTTTCTATCAGTTTGTCGTTCTTCTTATCTCAGATCACCATGGCCGGAAACACTGCATCAAGATTGGGAAAGAGACGTACCCAGCTCGCCGAGGATTCGATCAAGGACGAGCTCCAAAGAAAGAATTGCCCACAGTGGCCCCCAGTTCCGAACTGTGGAGGTTCTGCGCATGGAACAACAATCACACTCAGGAGACGAATCAGTCTGACACATGAACTGTTCAACTACAGAGTTATGAGATAAGGATACCTTGAACTTTCGGTCCTTGGAAGTCGCACCCCTCACAGTGACCAGTCTAAGACCGTCTCAACTCTCATCCAGCAATTACCACGTCGAAAGAAAGGCCATGAAAGCGGTGTTTACACTCTGCTGGGTCAAAAACGACAGGGATATGCTGTGTATATTGGATGCTCTGACCAGCTTTCAGCAAGGTTATCCCGACACCGGACTTCTATTAAAAAGGGATATAACCGACATAGGGTTCATGTCGTTTTATCAGACCCAGACTGGGAAATCCATGAACGAATTTTTGTTCAGCAAAACCACAGCATACCAAGGGAGATCCTTCTCTTAATCGAATCAATCATAATGGTCTATGTTGATTCTATTGAGTCAATAAATCATCGAATGCATCCTGCTGGATGTGAACTAGGATTCAGAGCAATCCAGACAGAGCTCGGCCTCGGATTGAATGGTCTTTATCATCTACGTTTAACCCATTCTGTTTCAATCTTGAATACATTCGAGTGGGGTCTGCAACGAGTCCAACCGGATGAATGTGAGCGATGTGGTAACAGAAAGCCTTGCCTTGTACAATCCGCAAAATACGGACAGTGGGTATGCAAGTCATGCTATGTGAGGTTATGGCTTGCGGGCCTGTCACCTGAGGATCCCCAGGGGCAGCCATGCCAGTGGTGCAAACACAGCCCCTAGAGCCAACTACTATACTCTTTTAATAGTGGTTGGTACTGCGAGATGTGTAAACACACATACCAGCAATTGGGTAACTTCCCTGTGATTCTGCCCGCTTCCAATGAGGAGATCCAAACCAATCAATGTGAATGTGGCGATTGCAATAAAGTTGGTTTTGAAGTAAACATCATCCAAGTAGATGGCAAGCATCTATGCAATGCATGTTACGACCATTCAAAAGTGTGGGGGACATCTAAGGTGTATGTCCATCAGTTATATGATCGCTGTGCCTGTGATGGTTGTCCTATCACAGGCAAAGACCGCCTAAAGCATGTCCGCAAAGAGGACGGGCGTAGGATCTGCTCAAGGTGCCATCACCTTCTGAAGAAGGATAACCACCAGCACGACCACCCATCTGTGGAGCCGCCCAGAAAGCAGCGGGTACCAGATGATAGAGTCTGTGCCTGCACTGGTTGTCCCCGAAAGGGGCACGGCCCACGTTGGGTCGCCCAGGAAGATGGCATGTATATGTGTAACACATGTGATTGGTGGAACAAGAGGCACAAAGGCGAAAACCATTGGCATTCAGATGAGGTAAAACTAGCAGATCGGGTATGCCAGTGTCCTGGCTGCCCTAAGAAGGGCGCCGGTGTCTCGTGGGCAAAATGGCCTGATGGGAACTATGCTTGCCGCACATGCTCGGATTATCGGGGTAAAAACCCGGATAATTGGCAGAACCATGACCACTCGTTGATGAGGAAACGATGCCGTCGATAAGGTGGCCATATGTGTCGATGGGTGTGGGATGTTGAGCAGTTTTACAAAAGTGGGTTTGATTCGATGGGTTTTCTCCAATATAGCTAACGGATGTCAAAGATAGTTATTCAAGAGTTTTAATGATAATGCAATGCACTGCAAGTTCATAATTATTGTGCCCAACTGTTTGGTAACTCCTAAGGCACAGTGTCTTATGGAGATCGAAGCTTGATTCTTTATCTACTCTGGTATCCCCGATGTAGACCTCGTGATACCAATCTCAAATTTATGCCACAGGCCTGTTGGTATGAAACATTGGTACAGACGCCACAATATCCCCCTGCCAGGGATAACGGAGCGTTAAACCAAACAGTAAAACCAGAAGCGTGTTAAAATCAGTGGTGAGAATCAAACGTGACAACGACGATGACGAAGACGACGACGTGGACCGAGATGGACCCGAAGTCGGTACATGTAAAGGTAAAGACCGAAAGTGGCAGGTTCATGGTATCAGCATCGGGCCTGGCAATTGTGGTGCAGATATAGCTGCACCTCCAGCGTAAGATGTCTGTGGAGAAGGACCTGTCCTGGCTGGTGTCAAATCACTTAGAAATGAAAGCATATCAGACAGACCCCGTTTTAATCAGTGTTCATATGGGATCCCTACTTCAGCAAGTATCTTCGAATGAGAACACCTATGCATTGCTGTAATCATCGACATGATCTGGTATTTATATCGGAGAAATGCCGAGGATCCACTATCTTAGAATAGCCTCGGTCCATGAGAAACAAATGATTATCGACAGCCCACCTACATGACTCATTATCCCAGATAAATCATCTCATCTTCAGAGCATCATTACCATTCCATCTAACAAAATCACCATGACTATAGAGCATACAACGACCAACCTCGTCATCCTCGACTTCGACGGCACAATCTTCGACACCCGCGAAGCAATCCAACATGCCGCAGCCCTAACCTTCACCACTCTCCTCCCTGACCACGAAATCCCCTTTACCAAAGCCCGCCGGCTAATGGCCACCGGCGCCGGCCTGCCAGAGACCTTCCGTGCGCTCCACCCCGACCCGTCAACCTTCGACGAGGAAAAATGGGTCGCGACCTACCGCTCCCTCTACGCGACGCACGAGGAGAAATTCACGAAACCGTTCCCGGGTCTGCGCGAGCTACTGGCGGGCCTTCACTCGCGGGGAATTCCCATCGCAATCGTGAGCAATAAGGCTGTTCCTCCGATCAAGACGGCGCTGGAGCGGACGGGGCTAGCGGAGTTCGTCGATGAGATGCTCATCATCGGTGATGGGACGCCCGGGTCGAAGAGGAAGCCGGACGCGGCGAGTTTCACGGAGGCGCTGGTGCCGCGGTTGAAGGCGGTATACGGGGAGGGGTTTGAGGTGGATCCGGGAAGGGTTCTGATGGTTGGGGATACGATTACGGATCTCAAGTATGCGCGCAGTATCGGGGCGAGGGTGTGTTGGTGTCGGTTTGGACAGGGCGATCAGGAGGAATGTGAATCGTTCGGGCCGGATTATGCGGTGGATTCGTTGGCGGAGGTTCTTGAGATCGCGGTCAAGGAGTAGTGGACTGAAGCGATATACGGAGATAGACGATAGTGTTGCGTATTAAACATATGCCAAGTGGTATCTGCAGGCGCTCGCTGGGGAGCGGAGCAGCCTCTGAACTCGAGGATCGGTGCTGTGCTCTAGATACATGCAGATCGCCTTGCATTCGCCGCGAATCCTACCCTCTACCCAGGGCTGCCATTCGGACAGTGTACACATGAGGCCCATCCACTGCGCCAGGACCAACAGCGCAGGCGGGTCCCTCTCTCTCAGGAGTGCAAGGAAATCATTCTCCAGTCTGCCCATGAAAGTGGCGCATTGAGAAGCATTCTTCAGATTCTTTTCCAAGCCGGATATGGCAGCCAGCATTCTAAGAGGCTCATAGTACGGATTCGTTGATGGGGTGGTCGAGTCATCAACCCCACATAAATCAGCCAGGTCAGGGTCAAGACCGTCACGGCCCTGGGTAACTCCCTCATCGTATAACTGTACTTCTTCCTGGTGAGTCTGCTGAAACGCCGATGCCCAGATACTGGACTGTATGTACGGGGCCGCGAGATTGATAATGGTGCGGAGACCGCTCTGTAGGCAAAGCCAGTTCATTGCTCCGGGTGCGTTCGTCAGAACCCACGAGTCGGTAGGTTCGAAGCGATCGGGGCAGACGGACGTAATGCCCATGAACATGCAGGTTGACAGCAGAGCGTCCACATTTTGCGGGGAGACCTTTGATGATAGCGCGGCTTGATATGCTTTGATTGCCTGCTGCCAAAAGTAGGTTTCTGCAAGTCGCCATGTTTGATTCTGGGGACGGATCCGGCTGAGATGGAGGCTACCGACGCCTAGGATTGTGTACATTAGATGGGGACACTAAACACGTCAGTACTTGCAAGTATCCCCGTAGATAGGGACTCACTCCAAAGGCGACCCGAATCATATCACTCTTCATGACATGCCGTATGGAAGGATGGCCAACGGTGTCTGTTGAATGGTTCATGAAGTGCTGGAACGCTACGATTGTTATTGGTCGAGTGTCATTGGCCGTTTTCAGTGCGCCAATCTCAAGACAGTCAGAGTCTGTCGCCAAAGCCTGGTTGACCTTTGATTCCAGGTCCTTTAGCGACAGAGAGAATACGGTGCCATCTGGTTCTTTCATCGTCTGAAGGTCCTGACTTTGGGGATAGCTACAAGAAACTCCCAGCTTCTCGCATCGCCTGCAAAAAGGCCGAGTTTCGTCGCACTGTGTACACTCCTGTGAGTATACATTCACACTCTGTGGTTGAGGCTTACTTTTACTCTCCGCCGCTTACAGGTGATGCAGCCTGTGCGGGACTTTTTATGCGGTCGTCGGGCATGATACGGAGGTGACTGGGGTCTGTCAGGAGGCGGTAGACGGAACACGGTCTGCCATGAGCGGATATCGACTGAAGTCGGGGTAATAACCTGGGTTGCAACCATATTGTTGTTTGATGTAGAGAAGATTGTTGGTCACTCCAATCATCGCCACTCTGCCTCGCGCGAACGTCATGAGAGGGGATCATCCACATTATAGCGGCTCCAAAAACAATGGTAAGAGTGGGGTTCGAACCCACGAGACTCTCGTCAAGCGGGATGTTAATAGTGCTGTAGAGCACTCGCTTAAGCCGCTCGCCTTAACCACTCGGCCATCTTACCGCCTTAATCTGAGTAAAAAAATATTACGTTCGTCTTATAATCTGCCCGCTTATCACACTTCCTGTAGATATTAGGTACCTCTTCCGGAAGGGAAAATCTAAACAGCGTCCTTCGAAGCTCAAGATGATCGACGGTCAACCAGAAAAAGGTTCAAGTCAGGCCTCCAATAGACTAACGTAATCAGTAAGCGAGCAGCAGTCTCTCATCTCTACAAGTTCTATCATGATGTCATCCAGGATGGATTATTTGTCTGGGAAATCCAAAAGATGTACCAAGAGTATGGTGTGTTAAATAGATAATAATGGCAATCTATCCTTACTCACAAATGTATAGGACCTATTGTGCGGATCAATCTGTGTGAAGTCTATATAAAACACCCCTATTTCTATAACAAGATCTATGCTCCAGCCACCAGCATGTAAGATAAGGACCTAAAGTCCATCAAGATATTCAGCGCCCCCGGCGCGATAGTTGTAACAGTCAGCCATCACAAGCACTGCATGCGCCGGAGATTGCTAACGGCCTTCTTCTCAACACAGTCAATCAGAGGATCGAGCCTCTTATCCAGGAGTCGCTTTCAAAGTTCTTGGGTGCTCTTACTTCGTGCATACGGATCCAACCCTCTTCCCTGATCCAGTCAAGTTTCACCCTGAACACTGGATGCTCACAGCTGAGCGGAATGAGCGGCTTTTAAGATTCCTCATGACATTTAGCAGAGGCAACCGGGCCTGTTTAGGAATGAAGTGGGTTTGAATCATTTAATAAGAAAACTTTTCCTATCACCCCGCTAACTTTGGAACCCCCCAGCCTGGCCTATGCAGAATTATATATAACTCTAGCAATTATTGTCCATTAATTCAACCTGGAGCTTTACCAGACGACTGGGGAGGATGTTCATTTTATGCGAGACAAAGCGCTTCCGCAGGGCAAGGATGGTCCCTGGTGAGTCTGAGTGAAGGTTGTTGGTATTGCTGGCATAGGTAGCATCCAGTGCTCCTGCGTGAAGCTGTGCGAGTTGATTGGTCTTGTTATCAAGAAGGCAAAGCTTCCCTTCGTCAGATACCTCTACATCTGCACATTTACCACTGCACAGCAGACGTACACAGCTGTCCCAAGTTCTACAAAGATTTGATTATAGTCAATGACGAGGCTCTACAAGGGAGAAAAGTAGTAGTTGCAAAGAATGACCCACCATTAGGATTTATCAAGAAACACGTTCCTAGAAGGAAACAATGTCATGTTAAGTGAGAATGAACAATCCGTCCGTGGGCTCATCCATAGCTGAGCTGAGCCAAATGTCCAACATACTGAAATTTGCCATGTGGAATTACATTCCTTTGCCTGGAGAGCATTGTCACTGCTAGTTTACGTCGTTCCTTGTCTACAACAATCGCCATGTACAGCAACTGCATCATTGTGTGCCCGTAAACCTCGCGGCACATTGCGCTAGCAGATACAAATATTCTGCGATCAGCACTAACGACTTTGAGACTGATCGGCTAATCCCACTGCTTACTCCTTGTTAAAGAAGAGTCCGACAATCTAATTTGGAGCGAAGCCCTTGCCGTCCTCTGGATCCACCCCTTTTCCTAGGCCTCTCCTCTTCCTCAACCAAACACCATTCCTACATACCATGAGTAGCTTCGTGAATTCCTCCGAGCAGCGGAAGCACATAGATGCCGTTTTAAAGGAAGAGCTCGGGTCAACTTACCTCGGTGTGTAAGGGTTCTATGAGGCGTATTTCGGTAGTATCGAATATTTGGAACCATCCAGTGCTACCTTATTTATCTTCACCATACTCTTTGTCTATGGCACCTGGCGGCACCTTCGATCCGCAAACCGTCCGCCTAAACTTTATCCCTGATCGCATTGGCACTATTTGAAACGACTTCATTCTTAGAGTTGGTGACTTTTCTATATCGAAACGGGCTGTTTGCGGGTCGCGGTTGTCCAAGGGCCATTGTGACGTTTAACATGAGGGAAGGGAAGGAGGCCAATCCTGTTGTAACAGCGACTCAGATTCGCATTGTCTTACCTCGCCCTGTGAAAATGGAGGCTGGACCACGTCGCGTCCGTCCGCCGAATCTCTGCGGTTTTCTTCATTAATGAACTTCGCATGTGGCTATCACGAAACGCGTTTGATGAGAACCACCAGTGTATCCCGTTATTGTTAGTTACCCTGCGTGTCAATCAGTTCTTTTGGGCTGAAGTGCTACGGGATCAATTGGATGCACATTGCGATTCGAAGATGCTGGGCCAAGCATTTAGTCTTCTCTGGCTGGCTAAGCTCGTTGTGCATTGTGGATACGTTACGTTACAAGAGACGCACAGAAAATGCTTTGAAATAAGCAACGTTTAGCGTTCTATAGGCATTAGCAGCAGACCAAATGTATTTTCTTCTTATCAACTAAAGGGTTGTTGCACCATCCATTCCATTAGGGAACGCCCTCGCATATCGATCCCTGATCATCTGTTCTTTTGCCGTAGACCGAGGCTTAGCATCACATGTGAACGGCTTCGGTGCAAGCTCAAGTCCAGGCTGGGGTGATGAATGAACGTCAGCATTGCTCGTGTAGTTGAGGGGAAAGGGACTTACCTTCGCATACGAATCGATATCCAGACCACCAGTTCCAGAACCATCTTTCTTGAAGTTGAAAGCCCAAAGCAGATTCATAGTGTTCAGCATAATCGTCCGACGGGCCATCGACTCTCCTGGACAAACCCTTCGTCCAGCTCCAAACGCGAAGTTGTTCCGATAGCCCGTCTCGTCGACACCTTCTTTCGTGCCAAACTCAGTTTTGATGAACCGCCCGGGGTCGAAGTTCTCCGGATCGTCGTAGAACTCCGGATCATGAAATATACCGTAGGTATTCATGAAGATCGTGGAGTCTGCTGGGATACGATAGCCCTTGTAATGGACTTCCTTTGTGCTGACATGAGGGATTGCGATTGGCGAAATGGGTCTGAATCGGAAGACCTCATCGGTAATGGCGCGGATATACGGGACAGCTTCATAGTCATCCAATTCCGGCCAGCGGTTAGGACCAACAACCCTGTCGATCTCAGCTTGCCCTTTTTCCTGGACGTGTGAGTTGTTGATCAAAGCAAGGATAAAGGACTGGAGGAAAGACGCGGTAGTTTCGGCTCCGGCGTCCATCATGGCCGCACCCATGCCAATGACCTCGTCTCGGGTCATGCCAAGCTTCTCTTGGTTCGATATCAGAGTTTCGAGGTAGCAGCCCGTGGTCTTCCCAGATTTAATCGCACGCTCGCATTGTGCGTACAGAGAACCGTACAGCTCATCTCGAATTCCACGTGTTGTGTCGGCGAGTCGTTTCCAATACGCCCAGCGTTTAGGTACGTATTGCAGTGGCCAGAAGAGATCGACTGGAGGGTGGACGCCAGGATCGATGACTTCGTTGAGAAGCTTCACGGCTCGAAAGTAAGTCTCTGCATGTGAATTTTCATATTTTGTGATTCGTGAGCCATAAAGCAGCGTGCTCATGACAGACGCAGCCGTCCGGGAGATGTGCTGGAATGTTTTCCTTGGCTCTTCAAGAATATCATGCATAAAGTGCGAGTATTCAGCTTGTTGCGTTTGTAGGTGATTTTCCAAACTGTCCTTGGTGAGAAAAGCGTGGATTGCATTTCGACCATGCCTCCAGACCGGATTGTCCATGTTCTCGAGAACCATGAGAGAGCCATTGGTGACACGCTGGACGAGCACGGAACGAGGGCGGTTCCCGGTTCGTGCGCCGTTGTTGTCAAGGATATGCTTCACAGCTGCGGCAGAAGAGATGACGACGATGGTGCGATCGAGGATCTTGAGCGAGAAAATATCGCCAAACTCCTGAGCCCATTCCAAGAACCTACGAACGTAAGCATGAGTACTTTTTGAGCGTGGCTCTAACTCACTTGAGATGAGGGAAGCTGGTTGGAAAGTCCAGTGCGTTCCCAAGAATTGGAATTGTCTTTGGGCCTGGTGGGAAGTCCTTGTGCCTGCAGCCGACGGTGCGTAACTTGAGAATGAGTAGCGTTACGAGCACAGCGAGCGTGGCTCCAGTTGAGAAGTTGGACACTATGATGTCAGACAACGAGAAATTCACAAACCTTGGCTCCATCGTATCCATCATGTGGGTGGTGTTTGAAACCTCTTCGACAAAGTAAAGGTGAAGGTTGCGAGTGATTTCGCTGAGTTCTTTGTTACACAGCGTTATCAGCTAAGGAAGGCGCATGCTTTATATAAACTTTGCACCAGTGAGATGCGATAATGCACAACCACAATGCACAATGCAAACAGTAGGTGACCAGAACCACAATAGTCAAAATTTGGTGTGTCCATAGTGGCGTACGTGACGTGGCTTGCATAGAGCTAGAGATCACATTGCTGCGTGTCCGCTCTATTCACCGGGGCGAGCTGCCGCCTGCATTACTTTCTCACTGACCGCATGACGCCACGGTATTGTATCCCTTGATTGGGGCAGTAATGACATTACCTAGGTACATTTCGCGTAGGTCCATGCGCAGTTCCGTATTGGGATGCCTGTGTCCGATCCTTTCTTCTTTCTCTCGACCAGGAATGCAGAACGAGTCGACCTTTTCCATCTTTACCACGCTGCCCGTTGTTATGGACCCAAACCCCTGTGGCGTGAAGCGTGAGCATTGCGATTGGGCTGGCGGAGAAGGTCGAAGCCGACTAAAACTTTGAACCCAGACCCTGCCCAACTGGATAAGTCAGTCGGTGCCTTGGTGACCACTCGCTTCCGCAAAGACTGCCGGACGGCGGACCATGCCTGCCAGCAAGGACCGCCCTTGCCGCAGCCTGTGGTCGCACATCGTCCGCGCGCGAAAGTCAACCCAAATCTGTACCATTAATAATTACGGATTTGGCTCGAGCTGTAATGGATCAATATTGATAGGTGATGTGATTCCAACTTCTGTTGGAGCACGAATGCAAGTAGCAACTTTTACTGCAGTGAATACGTGCAATTGGCCTATGCAAGGCAGCCGACGAACGAGAGCACTAAAAGCCCTCAAGAACGAGCTATCGTCGTGGAAAAGCCAGGGGCGGATGCAGCTTCAAAGAATAGGAGCCACCGGGATCTCCCCACTGGCACCTGTGTTTCCCTGGTAAACTGGATAGCGTCTTTAGCAGTACAGCTGGACCTAATATCTGTTCTGGATAAAGATAAGAACTTCAGACCTTTCCACATTGCTCTAATATCCCTTTCCTCAAGACCGCTCCCACCTTGGAACTGTCCGCGGACGTTATACATGACCAAGACGATAAAGCTCACGGAAACATCAATACATAGTATACCTCGTACCTTTATCATCATCGCTTTATTCCATTGTCTCTGCGTAAACAACAATGGCAGACAGAATCAGACACGCATGGCAAGGCTCGACCTATTTCCCTGCAACAATGAGGAATCTCACTGGTACGCTTAAGCAGTTACTATTTTACCTTCTTAATTATCTAAGATCTTTTCTACCTGCTATTCTTAGTATCTATTAAGCTTAACTAGTCTAGGCTTTAGATCTATATTAGAGTCCCCTTAGAATGGTTTAAGCAGTAAGATATAGAATATTAGATGTAGCTTATAGAATTATAGTAGGAGCTTTAGCTTATAGGCTTATTTACTAGTAGGTTTACTAATCTAGAATAGACCTATTTACTAATAGTCTAGCTTCTTACTAGGTCTATCTATATTAATGTTCCTTATACATAGCTAGGCTGGCCGTTGGGAAGGGATGGGAAGGGAATGGGAATTCCCACTACTAGTTCCCCTCCCATTTTGCCCCTAGTCATGGGGAAGCCTATCCCAATCCTTAAAAAAATTAGGATTCCCTAATTAATATGGGAATCCTATATTAATTTCCCATCCTATTTTACTATAGGATTTGGGAGCCCATCCCATTTAGATAAGCTAGGGAAATCCCATGGGAATCCCTAATTTTTTAGGGATGGGAAGGGAAATCCCATAGGATCTATGAAACCTTAATTTATGGGGAATATACCCCTAAAAATAGGTATTTTACCCTACTTTTACCCCATAAATTAAGGTTTGGGAAGCCCATGGGATTTCCCTTCCTATTCTAATATTACCCTATGGGAATCCCATCCCTATCTCTAAAATAAATGGGATTGCTAATTAATATAGGAATCCTATATTAATTTCCCATCCCATTTTCACTATAGGATTTGGGAGCCCATCCCATTTAGATAGACTAGGGAAATCCCATGGGAATCCCAAAATGGGATGGGAAATTAATATGGGATACCCATTTCCTAAAGGGAGGGAATTTCCCATGGGATTTCCCTCCTACATGGCCAGCCTATACATAGCATAACCCATTCACTAACATAGAATATTATATTAATATAATTCTAGTTATAGTAACACTTCATAGCTTCTTTTACTATATTTAGTTAATTTAATAGGAATTCCCTTGTGGCTTAGAGATCTTCCATATATATGATAGTATTTAGATTAAGATTATTAGTTATTTATAGAATATTAATCTATAGTTCTAGTTTATAGCCTATAAGTGCCTATACTGGTGGGATTCCTAGCACTAAGTATTTAGAATTATTATAGATAAACTAAGTATATAGTAGCCATCTTATCTAATTATCTTAATAATAGTTAATATAGATGTAGAGATAGTATTCTAATATTTAGTTTTATCTTTCTATCTAACTATTAGTCTATAGATAAAATACTATAAATAAGCAGTATTTAGTAGCTAGTAAGAAATATAGGCTAGACTAAAATACTAATATAAATAAGGATCCTTAGTTACTGATAAGGTTTTATAGCATTCTAAAGTGTGATATAAATCTTATATAGATTAGTTTAGTAAGGTTTTCCACAGTTATATCCTTCCTAGAGAGATAATAGACTATATATTTAGTGTATATATCTACTATAACTAGAATTAAATTATAGACTTTGTTTTCCCACTATAATAGTAGTAAATCTATAATAAAATCTATAGTAACTTAGTCTATTAGCTTTTCTAGGACTAGTAAGGGTTATAAAAGTCTATATAACTTATATCTATATACTATAATTTGCTAGCAGACTATATATTATTAGATATATTCCTTAATATCTATAGTAATACCATACTACTAATATTAGCTTTAGATAGTATTTAAGGTATAATTCTCTCTAAAATATCCACCTTATAGATTACTATAATTTTAATAGAGAATCTCTTATTAAATTATAGGCACCTTTAGTATAAATATATAATTCCTAACCTAGAGAAGTCTATCTTTAAATCTTAACTAGGGTAAGCTAGCTTACTACTCTAGAATTATTTCTACTATCTTATATAGTACCTTAATACATCTTAGGTATTTAGCCTATGCCTTATATAGTAGGTCTACTATAGTTAGTTCTAATTCTAAAGTATAAGCAGTCTTATGCTATATAGTAGCTTTAGCTATAATATATAATACTAGAATATCTAGAATATCTATATTATTATTAGTATAGCTTTAGGGGGTATTAACTATTAGGGTCTACTATTAGCTTCTAATTCTATACTAGTATTCTAATTTATATTAGTTTCTCTTCTTAGATTAATAGACTATCTTATATTTTAGCTTATAGTTTCTCTAGCAGTAAGTCTGCTGCATATTCTTTAGGATTAATAGTATAGTCTAGATAATAGCTAGGTATGTCTATAGGGTTATTCTTCCTAGAGTAGTATTTAATTTAGATATTAAATATAGATAAGAATTCTATCTATCTTATATAATACCTATTAAGCATCTTTATTGTTAGAAAAGCCTGTAGGTTAGTATAGTTAGTAAGAATTTTAATAGTATTACTATTATCTTTAATATAGTAGCACTATTACTTAATATATTCTACTATAGTAAGTATTTCTCTATTATGTATATTATATTAGGTTTTAATATCTTATATTTTCTATAACTAATATACTACTAGATACTATTATTTATTATCTTAGAGCTAACTAAAGATACTAGTAACTATAGCCTTTAAGGTATTAGACTTAATATAACTTTTCCTCTTTAGATTAAAATAGTATAGTACTAAAGTAGAAATAAATCTCTACTTTAGTTCTTTAAATATCTCTTTAACTTTTATAATAAGAAATTCCCCTTCCCTCTTTAGAGATTCTTAAGTATATTATTATCTACTCTTTATTATATACCCCTTAGTTAGGTTACTTAGAGGTATAGTAATCTTAGAGTAATACTTAATAAATCTCTAGTAGAAGTTAATAAAGCCTAGGAATTACTATACTTTATAGATATTTTAGGATTTAGGCTATTCCATAATAGTAGTAATATAGCTAGGTTCTATCTTAATATCTTCTATACTTACATTAAACCCTAGGAAATTAATTTCTATAGTGCGGAATTTATATTTACTATATTTAGTATAAAGTCTATATTTATAGAGTCTAGTTAGGACCTCCTAGACCTACTAGATATATTCTTCCTTAGTATTAGAATAAATAATAATATTATCTAGATATATAATATAGTAAGTGTCTAATAGATTACTTATAGCCTAGTTAATATATAATTAGAATATGGCTAGTGTATTTACTAGGCTAAATAGTATAACTATATACTTAAAATATCTATATCTTATATAGAATGCTATTTTCTATTCATTACCTTTCTAAATTTAGATCTAGTAGTAAGCATCTTAGAGATCTAGCTTTATATAGATCTTAGTACTAGATAATCAGTCTATTAGCTTGCTTATAAGTGATAGTAGATAATAGTTTTTTACTATAATTTTATTTAGGCCTTAGTAATTAATATAGAGTTATAGACTACTATCCTTCTTAGGTATAAATAATACTAGAGTACCTATAGAACTCTTAGATAGCCTAATCTATCCTCTCTATAGATATTCATTAATATAATTCTAAAGGACTTAGAGTTCTTCCTATAATAATAGATATAGTAGCTTATAAGGTAGCTAAGTTCCCTCTTTAAGTTCTATTATATAATTATATATAGTATTCTTAGGTAGGATACTAGCTTACTCTTTACTAAAGATATCTATAAATTCTATATATTCTAGAGATAGTAGTAGTATATCTCTAGTATCTTTTATAGTAGCCTATAGGTAGATAGTTTTTTCTATCCTAATAGGTATAATAATTATATAAAATAGTACTTTATAGACTTATAGTTCTTCTATAGCTATAGTAGTAGATATTTGTTTAATATTTAGCTTATTACTTCTATTAGAGGACCCTAGATAGTAATACTAAGTAAGGTTTTTCTAATTAATATCTAGATTAATAGCTTTTAGCCAGTCCATTCCTAGAATTAGGTTATATTCTACTATATTAACTATCTTAGTAGCTAGTTAGTGGATTCTGATATTCCCTATAGAGTTAGTAATCTTAATTTCTAGATCTTATTATCTATAAGATATTACCTTATAGCTATTAATTACCTACACTAGGTATAGTAGACTTTCTATATTAGGTAGGAACTCTTTTATCTACTACTAATTAATAAATATTTATTTAGCTCTATAGTTAATTAATATTTAATATTAGTAGCAGCTTCTCTTAATAAGAATATTTATTAGATAAGCTAGTACCTATCTATTATTAGAATTTCTTCTAATATCTAATACTATAGCAGTATATAGCATAGGCTAGCTTAGTTTTTTAAATACTTAGGAATCTATAGTTTAGTATAGTATTTTAGCTAATAGCTATATTCTCTATATCTATTATAGTATAGCCTAGGGTATTCCTAGTATAGAGAGTAGGAGTATTTCTACTTTCTAGATTCTAATCTATAGTTATTACTAGAATATCTATTACCTCTAGGCTAATAGTCCTTAGTATAGCCTAAC